CCTGCAATGCGGGAGACCTGGGTTCAGTCCCTGGGTTGGGAAGATCCCCTGGAGAAGGGCATGGCAACCCACTCCAGTAATCTTGCCTGGAGAATCCCATGGACAGAGGAGCCTGGCAGGCTATAATCCACGGGGTCACAAAGCGTCAGACATGACTGAATGACTAAGCACAGCAGCATTATGTCCTTCAATAGGTGAGTTGATGAACAAGCTGTACATCCATATAGTGGGATATTATTCAATGATAAATGAGCTGTCAAGCCATGAAAAAGCTTAGATGTATATTGCTAGGTGAAAGAAGCCAGTCTAAAATGTCTGCGTACCCTGTGATTCCAACTACATGACATCTTGGAAAAGACAAAACTACAGAGACAGTAGAAAGTCAGTGGTTTTTAGGAGTTGTGGGAGTGGAGGGGGGTAAAGATGAATAGGCAGAGTATGTATTTAGGGCAGTGAAACTGTTCTGTATGATACTGTAATGGCGATATATGTCATTTATACATTTGTCATAACACATAGAACTATACAGAGTATGCTTTCATGTAAACTATGTAGTTAATATATCAAGTATTGGTTCATTAATTTTAACAAATGTACTACACTAATGCAAGATGTTAATGCCAGGAAAAAGTGGGGGTGATGTGAAGAGGGGAAATATGAGCACTTTGTGTACTTTCTAATTAGTTTTTTGATAAACCTAAAACTGCTCTAAGAAATAAAGCCTGTTAATTTAAAAACAGGAAAATAAAGATTAGAGGACTATTACCAGAACATTAAAAGTGGTTGTGTTATGGGCTTTCCTGTGTCCAGTAGTTAAGAATCTGCCTTGCAGTTCAGGAGACATGGGTTCGATCCTTGGTCCAGGAAGATCCCACATACTGTGGGGCAATTAGGTCCATATGCCTTAACTACTGAGCCAGCACACCCTAGAGCCCATGCTCCAAAAGAAAAGAGTAGCCGGTGCTCGCTGCACCTGGAGAAAGCCCATGCATAGCAATGAAGACCCAGCACAGCCAAAAAATAAAATGAGTGAATAAGTAAATAAAATTTTTTTAAAAGTGGTTTTCTTCTGGTGGTAGAATTATGTATGATTTTTCTTTCCTCTATATGTTTCTTTTTAATTGTCTTATTATCGTATAATTCACATGGAGCAAAATCACCATTTTAAATACACCTAAAGCTAGTACAATGCTATATGTTAATTTTATCTCAATTTTAAAAGTTAAAAAATAAATAAAATTTTAAAATTCACCCTTTTTTCATCCTCCTCCAGGGGATCTTCCCAACCCAGAGAGTACAGTTTTGTGAGTTTTGACTAATGGTACCACCATAATCAGGATATAAGCTCCATCACTCTCAAAATTTACTCTGTATCCCTCTATAGTAAAATCCTTCCCCCACCCTAGTCCTTGGCAACTACTGATCTTTTTTCTGTCCCTTGTCCAGATTAAAAATAATTAATTGTAACCATGCAGTATGTAGTGCTTCCCTGGTGGCTTAGATGGTAAAGAATCTGCATGCAATTCGGGAGACCTGGGTTCAATCCCTGGGTTGGGAAGATCCCCTGGAGAAAGGCATGGCAGTCCACTCCAGAATTCTTGCCTGGAGAATCCTCATGGACAGAGGATCCTGGTGGGCTACAGTTCACAGGGTTGCAAAGAGTCGGGCATGACTGAGCGACCAACACACATAGAGTATGTAGACTTTGAATCTGGCTTTTTTCGTCTAGCATAATGCCTTTGAGGGTCATCCATGTTTAACCGTATCAGTCTTTCTTTATATTGCTGAGTAATATTCTTTGATTTGCATGTTTTAAAATTCATCAGTTGAAGGACATTTATGTTGCTCTCAGGTTTTTCAGACTGAATAAATCCATTTTAAACATATAGTACAGATTTTGGTTTGAATATATGTTTTGTTTTAGTTGGAAAAATACCTAGATGTGGTTTTGCTGAGTGGTATAGTTAAGGGTGTATTTAACTTTAGAAGAAACTGCCAAGTTGTTTTACAACAGTATTGTATAAGGAGAGCTACAGTTGCTTCATTTCCTCACCAGCACTGAGTATATTCAGATTTTTTGCATTTATCCGTTCTAATAAGTCAGTCCTCATGGTTTCAATTTTCATTATATGTCCTCATGGTTTCAATATTTCATTTCCCTGATGACTAATGATGTGTGTGACATTTGTGAATCTTCCTTTATGAAGTGTCTATTCAAATTTTAATACCATTTTTGAATTGGGTTGTTAGTTTCCTTATTCTTAAGTTGTGAGTTTTTTTTATATTTTCTGGATGTGCTTGTGCTCAGTCACCCACTCATGTCTGACTCTTTGCAACTCCAGGGACTGTAGCCCACTAGGCTTCTCTGTCCGTGAAATTTCCCAGGCAAGAATACTGGAGTGGGTTGCCATTTCCTCCTCCAGAGGATCTTCCCAACCCAGAGATCAAACCCACGTCTCTTACGTCTCCTGCATTGGCAGGTGGATTCTTTACCACTGCTCCACTTGGGAAACTGTATTTTGGATGAAAGTCCTTTATCAGAAATGTGATTTGCAAATAATTTCTTCTAGTTGGTGGCTTTCCTTTTTATTCTCTTAACATTTTTCAGAAGCAAAAGTTCTTAATTTTGATGAATTCCTATTTTACAAAATTTCTTTTATGAATTGTACTTTTGGTGTTATATCTAAGAACTCTTCACCTAACCTAAGATCACAACTATAGTCCCCTGTATTTCCTTTTAAAAGTTTTAAAGTATTGGGGTTTACATTAAAGTGTGTCTGTGATCCATCTTGAGTTAATTTTTGTAGATGGTATGAGATATAAAGTTCATATTATTTTATGTTTTGCATATGATTGTCCAAATAGTCCAGCAGCATTTGTTGAAAGGCTATTGTTTCTCCACTGAATGGCCGTTGCATCTTTGTTGAAAATCAATAGACCCGTAAATGTGGGTCCCTTCTCTGTTTGTTGACGCTTCATTCTATTCCATTGGCATATTTGTCTAACTTTTTCCAACACCACACTGACTTGAAAACCATAGTTTTATATTGCTTTGAAATCACATAGTGTGTATCTTCCAACATCTTTCTCTTTCAAAATTGTTTTGGTCATGCTGCTTTCTTTGCCTTTCTTTAGAAGATGTAGAACTCTTCAGATTATTTCTCTTTCCTTGAGTAAGCTTTGGTGTCTTTCAAATAATTGATCCATCTCATCTAAGATATTAAGCTAACTGGTGTAAAGTTATTCATAATGTCTCCCTTTTATTCTTTTAATATCTGTAGAATCTATAATGAAGACTTCTCTTTTGTCCCTATATTAGTAATTTGCATCTTCTGTCTTTGTTAATCTTGCTAGAAGTTTATCAATTTTATTGATTGTCTTAGAAAACCAGGTTTTGGTTTCATTGATTCTTTTCTATTGATTTTTGTCTTTAATTTCACTGACTTCTGTTTTTATTATTCATTCCTTCTATTTTCTTTTGGTTTATTTTATCCCACTTTTGCTAGTTTTGTAAGGCATTGATTTGAGACTGTTCCCCTTTTCTACTGTAGGTACTTATAAATTTCGACTGTAGTTACTTATAAATTTCTCTTTAAGTACTTCATTAGTTGAATCGACTAATTTTGATATGCTATGTTTCATTTTCTTTTAGTACAAAATACTTTCGAATTTCCCTTCAGTAACAGGCTGTTTATTAATTTTGTTGTTCTTTAGTCGCTTAGTCATGTCTGACTGTTTTGCAACCCATGAACTGTAGCCTTCCAGGCTCCTCTGTCCATGAGACTTCCCAGGCAGAATACTGGCATGGGTTGCAATTTCCTTCTCCAGGGCATCTTACCGACCCAGAGATAGAATCCATGTCTCATGCATTGGCAGTCGAATTCTTTAATGCTGAACCACCAGGGAAGCCTGTCCATGGGGTTACTAGCATATTAAAAATGGTTTCTTCTTGGGCTTGAATTATGTGTATGGAATATTTCTTTTTTTCCCATATATTTTATGGGTTTTTTTTTCTATGTTTTGGTGTGTTTTCCAGCTTTCTACACTGATTATAAAATAATCATTTATTATAAAATATCACTGTACATTTTGTAGCACTTTATAATTGACTTTATAATTTCCTTCTCTGGAGAAGGAAATGGCAACCCACTCCAGTATTCTTGCCTGGAGAATTCCACGGACAGAGAAGCCTGGCAGCCTACAGTCCATGGGATCACAAAGAGTCGGACATAGCTGACCGCCTAAGCACATATAATTGACAAAGAACTTTATCTAATTTTCCCACATTTGCTTGAGAAACATGTAATCCATATTTCATAGATGTTGAAAATTGAGATTGACTGAGTCAAATAACTTGCTCAATGCTACACAACTAAAGCTAATTAGGATTCAGACCCAGGTTTTCTGATTCCCAGTTCATCGTCCTGAAGAAGTTGGAAATAAAGATTTGAAAAGTAAATTGGAATTTATCTTGTGAGAAGCTGGAAAGAATCACAGAAGGTCTTTGAGGCAGTAAGCAACTTGAGGCATTTATCTCAGTATAGTTTTAGTTTGAATCTCTGATTACTAATGAAGTTGAACAGTTTTTCTGATTTATTTCCTGCTCTCATTTCTTCTCTAAATTGCTTCCCATGGCTTTAGATCATTTTTCTATTGGATTGATTGGTACTTTATTTACTGATTTGAATGATTAGAAAATATTCCAGATATTAATACTGTATTTATACTAATACTTTATTTGTTGGAAATATCTTCTCCCTGTTTCTTGCTTATCTGGCTTTTCTTTTCAATTTTGATCATCAGTGCCAACCTTACTGGGTCATTGTAAAATCAAATAAGGAAAGCATATAAAACACTGAGCCCATCATAGGGGTTCTATAATTATCACCTATGCTTCTTTTCTTGATGTACACTAAAATGGATGGAACCTGTGATTGCTCTGGATTTTGTCATTGGTCCATGTTTTCTAACCAGCATATTCTCCATCTCCTTCCTCACAGATTCAGAGACATATTGTGTGTTTCAAGACAAGAAGTACAGAGTGGGTGAGAGATGGCATCCTTACCTGGAACCTTATGGGTTGGTTTACTGCGTGAACTGTATCTGCTCTGAGGTACAGTCCCCAATGGCATGTGATTTCCGCTTTGCTCCTCAGCAGGCAGACATGCTCTCAAGTGCCTAGATGGCCTGGGAGCATGAGTGATTAAAAACCTAAAAGAAGTTAGGAGGCAGATTGCAAGGAAAAATACACATCTCATGTCTTTTTCTTCTATTGCTTTTTGGCTTGATTTTCATGGGATCTCACTGAGTATTTGCTGTAGATAGATACTTAAGCAGTCTCTTAGCTGAAAGATACAGGACATGGAAAAAGTAGAGTGCAGGAAAAAGCTCAATATAATGACTGGATCATAAGACAACATCATTTTTTAATATCATTTTCAAAACTGGCCGTTAGCCAGGAGATTAGGACAGATTATAAACTGGTTCACTGGGAGAATGTATTTTATATGGTTTCAGCGAATGACTATAATTACTAATAGGATTGAGGTGGTGAAACCTTGGCTTGTATCTGGTGAGGATTAGAGTCCTCTTGGCTTGGCCTTAGCTCCTGTCCAGTCACTCAAAGAGGCATTTGAATAGCTTTGCAGTAGACAAAGCAGGTAGTCCCATGGCTGTGACCCAGGACCACAGCTACGGACCATCTTCCTGAACAAGCCTCTTCTGTCATACGCTAAGCCAGGGTTTCTCAGCCTCTACACTCTAGACATTTGGGAACAGATAATTTCTTGTTGTGGGGAGCTGTCCTGTGTATTGTGAGATATTTAACAGCACCCCTGGCCTCTATCCACTAGAAGCCAGTAGCATCCACCCTAGTTGTGGCAACCAAAAATATCTCAGGATGTGCTCAAGGTTACTTGGAGAGCAAAGTGGTTCCTGGTGGAGAACCAATGCACTAGGCCAACTGGGAAAAGAGACTTTATACTTGGCCTTGAGGATTGAGAATTCTGAACATATAGAAAGAATTTTCAAGACCTGCCTCTCACTTGAGAGCTCATGGAACAACTAAAACCCCTCACTAGTTCCCAGGAGTCCTCACTTACAAGCCTGATTCTTTTGCCATTTGAACAGAAGGTTGGGCTTTCAGAATTTTGAGCATGTGGAAACCTAACCTTTAGGCAACATCAGGTAGTCTTAAGAAACTGCAGGGCTCTAGAATCAAGACAGACCAAGTTTCCAACCCTGGCTCTGCCACTTCTGAGCTGTTGTTATGTTAAGCAAGTTATTTAACCTCTCTGAGGTTCCTTCAACTTCTTCTTCTTTAAAATGGTATAGTGGTATTACCTATTTCATATGATTATGACAAGGGTTAAATTTACTAATCTGTCTCAGTCAGTGCATTAAAACAATGCTTGATCATAGTCAATATTTGAGAAATGCTAACTGCTGTAGTATTACCATCATTATGGTTATTATTTTTATTAATGTGTTAGCTCTAGACCAGAAACCAATGTAAAGCATTAAGAAGGAATCAGTTTGACCTCAGCTAGGTGGAGTAGTTTTGATGTGCCCTGGTGATCTTACTTCAAGATGATACCGCCTGGCTCTGAGGAGTGTGACATATAAGGAGGCTCTGTGGTGTTTCCAAATGTAGTGTTCCAAAAATTTATTCTAGGAAGTATGCAAGAAAAGAAAAAGAGTTGTGGTAAGGTTATTCGAATTTGGATAAAGGAAGCCTGAATCTTTAAATGGCTGGGACAGTTATTAAACAGAGTATCTAGAGACTGAGTAACTGCCTGGTATGGTGTGATTGTGTCAGATTCTTGACCCAACGCATTGGAAATGGACAGCTAACCCTTGGGGACTGAGGCTTTGCTCTCTGCAGGGCAGTGAAAATGTTAATATAATCCCAGTGCCAGTGGCTCAAGTGCTAGGCATCTTCTCCCTCCATTGTCTTCATCACCCTCTTCCCTCACCAGAGCCTGATGGATATAACCCTTGCTTCATATGAGTTGTGGATGGAAAATGTTAATGCAAAATTGATTTCCAAGGTCTTCCTTTGTTCTAGCAATGGCTGAAAGCTAGGGATCTTGTCAGTGTAAATCAGACAAGGACCCAGTCGTCCCCTCCCCTAGTCATACTAGCTAATCAGCTCAATTCGAGACTCTAGCTTGGTCTCAGAAAAATTTTGACTTGCAAAAGAAGTGAGGAGAAGAAGCACTCAGCTCACTGGATCAAGGAAGAGTTATATGGACTCCAGAATCCATGTGCTAGGGCTCTCTCCTTGCCCAGGGATGGGTAACAGCTCAAGGGACCCATCACTCATTATCCCTTCCTTCCATGGCATTGGGCAGGTGATTATGAAATCCAACTAGGCTCTGAAGAGACGTGCAGAGCTAGGGAATGGTAGAAACATCACAGAGCCAAGTCAGAAGAAGCCTCCCAATAACTGTGAGAGGCTTTGTAAACTGGGGTAGTAGTGATCCTTAGAAAAATACTCCAATAAACTTATCAAAAAAAAGAAAGAAAATGCTGATTTCATTCAGTTTCTCGGCAATGCGTTATTCACTGTCTGAGTGAGTCCCTGAATGACTGTTTCCCAAATTGGCATGATCCCAGTGACCTCTGAAAGACATTTATTTTGTTGTCATTGTTGCCTTTCTTTTTCAGAATGGGAATGTGCTTTGCAGCAGAGTCAGATGTCCAAGCCTTCATTGCCTGTCTCCTGTGCATGTTCCTCATCTTTGCTGCCCTCGCTGCCCAGGTAAACCAGTTCGCCTTTCTTTCCCAGCTGTGGTTTTCCTTCCTCTTTCTTCCACCCAACCCACCCCTTCTCCCTAATTCCCCAGAAGAAGAAACTTCCAGACAGGAATAATAATAGGACACGTTCAGGCAGCCTGCACCAGCCCCTAAATACTGTTTATAGCCCAATTGGGGCACATTCTAGGCTCTAATAAGTTATTTGGTACACAGTAACAGGTTTTCATTGGGCTTTTAATCATTTGAAGGTGCCTATCAATTGAGGGAAGGGAATTGTGGCCCAGAGACTTTTCTGTGATAAACAGTCTCTTCCTGCCATGGGCAGTGGACACCAGGAGAGTTGTAGCATGGAGGCACGTGTCCTGCGCAATTAGTGCTGGAATTGCATTTGAGCATAGCTTCTAATTGATGAGGGGCTGTTCATAAATCAAAGGAGCTGAACCAGTGAGGTTTATGTCAGTGTAAAGCTGCTTGCTGGCTGAATGGTCACCTTCTCTAGACTGTACAGTTATTATGTATACACTTTTCAGAGTAGCGCTAAGGGGATGGTAGGCAGATACTTTTTCACAAGGCTGTTAGGACGTCTACCTTCCTGGTTGGCGGCTAGGGTGTTTGTCTGAGGCAGGGGCTCCCTCAGTGATACTTTGTTCATGTCTGACTGAGGCCAGGTTCCCACACCAGAGGAGTGCAAGCATGGAATGATTCAGAAAATGCCTGTGGGCCCACCAGCAATCCTAAGAAAAGCTAAGTGATCATCTTAGCATCTGGGCAGTAGAAGCTTTGTAGTCCTATAAGTTGACTCTGTTTCCCTTGAGGACAGAGTTGGGGTCCATGGGTGGACTTTGAGGGGTTAGCAAACCTTTTAAAATTGTTGGCAGTTTTTTGTGTAACAATGTATATGTGTAAATTCCTTTAGAGAAGATACATAGCTTTATTGGCATTGCTAAAGGAGTGTACATAACCATAAAAACATAAAGAACCATTAGTCTCCATCATACATGGTGTTTTTTTCAAGTAGTGAGGAACTTCCAGAACTTACAAGAGAGAAACGCAAAGTGTCAGGGCAGAAATGGTAGGACTGAAGCCAGGAATGAGGTTCAGTGACAACTCAGTTAACTGAAATGTTACAGGAACAGAGATTTTGTTGAATGGAGACCCTTTTTGTCCAATGGAGACCCAAACCCTTTTTGTCACCACTTTCATAACTTATGCTTTCTTACCTTGATAAATGGGCTTCCATGGTGGCTCAGCAGTAAAGAATCCACCTGCAGTGCAGGAACCACAAGAGACGTGGGTTCAATCCCTGGGTCGGGAAGATCCCCTGGAGGAGGGTATGGAAACCCACTCCAGTATTCTTGCTTGGAGAATCCCATGGACAGAGGAGCCTAGCAGGCTACAGTCCATGGGGTCTCAAAGAGCTGGACACTACTGAAGCAACTTAGCACTCATGCACATTGATAAATACACTCTGATGAACATCTTGGATTCTTTCCAGATGTCAGAAGATCATGCCGTGTCACAGGTTTATCATTCTTAATATTGGTTACCGTAGGATATGCTTTAATGTATGAGAGACTGAGTTGGCATGTGATCAACCTTAAAGTTATTCTTTGAAATAAATCCCTAAGAGAGGTTTACTATTTTTGCATGTGTTTATTTGCTTCTTGGGCTTCCCTGTCGGCTCTGTGGTAAAGAATCTGCCTGCAATGCTGGAGACCTGAGTTTGATCCCTGAGATGGGAAGATCCCCTGGAGAAGGAAATGGCAACCCACACCAGTATTCTTGCCTGGGAAATCCCACGGACAAAGGAACCTGGGGGGCTACAGTCCATAGGGTTGTAAAAAGAGTTGGGCATGACTTACAACTGAACAACAACAGCAACAACATTTGCTTCTTCTGTTTAAATTACAAGGGTGTAGCATGGGAGGATTCTTTTTTTTTTGCGTCTTCCAGGTTGCCTGTCAAATAGCCTTATAAAGTCTTCTTATCTCAGAAGTATCTAAAAGTGGTCTAATGTCATAGGAATTGATCTAAATGGCTGTGGAGAAATTATTCTTCCCTAGGAAGGAAGTTGGGGTACGGCCCAGACACAGAGCATAGAGTGGAAGTACACAGAGTGGAAGATGGCTGTCATCTACCCTAACTGCATAAAGGGAAGCAAGTCCTGAGAAAAAGAGAAAGTATAAGCTAGCAGTTCTTTTAAGAGAAAAAGAAAGTATTAAAAGAATTAAGATCATAAGTCCCAGAAATGAGAAAATGAAGAGAAATAAACATCATCATCTTTAAGACTTAAAAGATAGAAACAGCTATTCATTTCCTTTGCCTTCTTGTTCTTACAGGTCACTTCCTTGTGAGTTCATTTTTCTTTCTAACTATAACCTTTAACTGTTCTTTCTGTAGGTAGTGGTCCTAAAATTCCCTAATCCTTATATGCAAAAATGTCTTTATTTTGCCCTCATTCTTGAGTGATAATTTAGCTGGGTATAAAATTATAGATTCATGTTTATTTTCCCTCAGCCCTTTGAAGATATTAATAAATTGTTTCATGACTTCCTTTGTTTGTGGATAAGAAGTCTGCTTTGATTATAATTCTTTTATACATAATTTGTCTTATTCTAGCTTTTAAGATTTTCTCTTTTTCCTTTGATGCAAACAAGGAGGTATTTTGATGTATGATTTATTTTTATTTAGCCTGCTTAGCACATGATTTTTTCCAGCCAATGGACTCACATTTTTCTTCAATTTCAAGTCATTATTTTTGTGAAAACTATATTTTATTCTATTTTTTCTCATTCTTAACCTTGTCTTTGGTGTATGTCATTGCATTTCATTTAATTTAAGCTCTGTGTCTTTTAATGTCTTTCTTTTTCCCCCTGATGATATATTGGTACACTCCCTGTAATGATATATAACTTCAGCTTGGCCTTCCAATTCATGAATTGTTTCTCCAGCTTTTTCATGCCTACTATTTAAGCTGTCTGTTGGGTTTTGTTGTTCTATTTTTAAAAACTGTATTTCTCCCCATTTTTGAATTATATATAAAAAATATCTATGTACTGCCATTTTGTAAACCCCTGTTATTGTTTCTTGAGGTCTTGTTCTCTTATTTATTGCTTTAAGGTATTTAAATATTTATTTAAAGTCTATTTCTGATTGTTTAAATATGCGTATTTTCAGGTGTGAATTCTCACTTTTGTTAGATTTCTTGATAGCTTTCCTTAGTTCCAAATTTCCCCTTGCTTTTTAAAATTTTTGTCTAAAAGCTCATCATCCATGGTTTTTCTCTCGCATAAGTCCTTCCTTTTTGTGATAGCATTATTTTCAGGCTTTGTAGCTTACTTAGCATTAAACCAGGTCGTATGTTGGTATCCCACCTTGGACTCCATCATGTCTGAATAGTCTGCTTCTACCTCTGTTTTCTTGTGCAGGGCTAGTCCTTGGATTGGGACATCAACTGCAGCTGCCTTTCTTGGGCAGTCAGTCCATGCAAGAGAATGAACTTGAGTGGGCAAACTACGTCAGCCCCTGTTCACATGTGAAGAATGTGACTCTTAAGTCCTCAGATTTACACAGGAAGCCAATTGTAGGCCATAGTTCTGGCTCAGCTGCCTGGATATAGCTATCTATATCTGATCTGAACTGCCAGTGGAGCATATCTTGTTGGCCCTCATTTATTGCTGTACTTGCATTTTGCCTGTGTTTTATTTAATAGAGTTTCCTTTTGTTTCTGAGGATGATTTTGCAGTTTTAAAGTTTTATTTATTTATTTTTACTTTTATATTTCATCTCTTACTCTTCTTTGTTTGGAAAATAGCACAGTATTTTCTCATGTGCTCTCTCTGCCATATTGACCTGGAATGCAAATCAGCAATTCTTTCTTTCTGTTGAAGATAAAACAAGAATAAACAGGTTTAAACTATAGCAGAGAATAATGGAGTTTGATAAAAGAAAGAACTTTGGGACACAGTGGTTGTTAAATCCTAGAATAAATGACTAAGGAGAATTTTAGTCTCTTTACTGCATGTTTCTGGAAATAAAAAGGTATCCACCCATCTGAGATGGAGTTGGCATAGTTTTGCTTTGAGACAGGGCAATGGATGTGATGACTTCTCTGTATTCCTTCCACCCCAATTATTATTAGGCATGAGGAAACTCATGCCTTCAGGGCCACAGGAATGTTTGGTCAAAGGAAGGGGCTCTAGTTTTGTGTCTTAACCCAAAGGAAAGCACTGTGATGAAAACATATTCACTGAAAAATAGAATATTTAAATCCAAGGTAATGAACAAGTTCTATATCAGTAAGGGAAATCAAATAAGGGAGCCATATATCCAATGTTTTATATGCAATCTTACAGCCATATCAACTTCAAGGAATGTTTAATGGGTAGTGATGGACTTGGTGGGAAGGTCCTACCTGCCATGCCGAGAGCCCATCTCCCACTGGAGGAGACAGAGGAGACTTCACCCCCCTGTCTGTTTCTGTGTATCCCATGGCTCTTGCTTTCTAAACTTCTTACCCCTTGAAATTTCCAATGTTCTCACCTGCATTTGAACTTCTCTCTTGTAACTCCTGCTGAACCATGGAAATCAGAATATGCAGACTGCTTTTCCAGAATTACCAAAGAGAAATCTAAATCAATTCTCATGAAGAGCAAGTGAAAACATTTTCTCCAGCACTTCCCTTGGTCTCCATGGTAGAGGTTAAATCCTGATCACGTACCACAGTGCTCTACTGGGGCCAAAGTGGCTGGTAGTACAGGAAGGGTAGAACATTCTTAATAAGAAAGTCAAGACTGTACTGGAGTCAGAAAGGTCATTAAATTCATCCCAGTCTCTAAGCAGGAGTCAGTCTATTATCCCTAATGAGAGATTTGTTGGAATGGAATTTCATATCTTCTCTTTTGGAGGCAGTTGAATGGTAAAGGGGAAAGGGGGAGAGAAAGAATATGACTTGTTTCCTTTTGTTCTTCATGTATAATTTTATCACCAAGAGATGACTTTTGT